ACAAGCAACAGTTTTACCCTGACTTTCCCGCTCCACAAGCACCAGCTTTACCTTAACTTTACTGCCCCACAAGCACCAGTTTTACCCTGACTTTACTGCCCCACAAGCACCAGCTTTACCTTAACTTTACTGCCCCACAAGCACCAGTTTTACCCTGACTTTACTGCCCCACAAGCACCAGCTTTACCTTAATTTTACTGCCCCACAAGCACCAGATTTACCTTGACTTTACTGCCCCACAAGCACCAGCTTTACCTTGACATTACTAATAAACAAGCACCAGCTTTACCTTGACTTTACTGCCCCACAAGCACCAGCTCTACCTTGACTTTACTGCCCCACAAGAACCAGCTTTACCTTGACTTTACTGCCCCACAAGCACCAGCTTTACCCTGACTTTACTGCTTCATAAGCACCAGCTTTACCTTACCTTTACTGCCCCACAAGCACCAGTTTTACCCTGACTTTACTGCCCCACAAGCACCAGCTTTACCTTAACTTTACTGCCCCACAAGCACCAGTTTTACCCTGACTTTACTGCCCCACAAGCACCAGCTTTACCTTGACTTTACTGCCGCACAAGCACCAGCATTACCCTGACTTTACTGCCCCACAAGCACCAGCTTTACCTTGACTTTACTGCTCCACAAGCACCAGCTTTACCTTGACTTTACTGCCCCTCAAGCACCAGCTTTACCTTGACTTTACTGCCCCACAAGAACCAGCTTTACCTTGACTTTACTGCCCCACAAGCACCAGCTTTACCCTGACTTTACTGCTTCATAAGCACCAGCTTTACCTTAACTTTATTGCCCCACAAGCACCAGTTTTACCCTGACTTTACTGCTTCATAAGCACCAGCTTTACCTTAACTTTACTGCTCCACAAGCGCCAGCTTTACCCCTGACTTTACTGCCCCACAAGCACCAGCTTTACCTTGACGTTACTGCCCCACAAGCACCAGCTTTACCCTGACTTTACTGTGCCACAAGCACCAGCTTTACCCTGACTTTACTGCGCCACAAGCACCAGCTTTACCCTGACTTTACTGCCCCACAAGCACCAGCTTTACCTTGACGTTACTGCCCCACAAGCACCAGCTTTACCCTGACTTTACTGCCCCACAAGGACCAGCTTTACCCTGACTTTACTGCCCCACAAGCACCAGCTTTACCTTGACTTTACAGCCCCACAAGCACCAGCTTTACCCAGACTTTACTGCCCCACAAGCACCAGCTTTACCCAGACTTTACAGCCCCACAAGCACCAGCCTTACCCTGACTTTACTGCCCCACAAGCACCAGCTTTACCTTGACTTTACTGCCGCACAAGCACCAGCTTTACCCTGACTTTACTGCGCCACAAGCACCAGCTTTACTTTGACTTTACTGCGCCACAAGCACCTGCTTTACCTTAACTTTACTACCCCACAAGCACCAGCTTTACCTTGACTTTACTGCGCCACAAGCACCAGCTTTACATTGACTTTACTGCGCCACAAGCACCAGCTTTACTGCGCCACAAGCACCAGCTTTACCTTAACTTTTCTGCCCCACAAGCACCAGCTTTACCTTAACTTTACTGCGCCACAAGCACCAGCTTTACCTTAACTTTACTGCGCCACAAGCACCAGCTTTACCTTGACTTTACTGCCCCACAAGCACCAGCTTTACCCTGACTTTACTGCCCCACAAGCGCCAGCTTTACCTTGACTTTACTGCGCCACAAGCACCAACTTTACCCTGACTTTACTGCCCCACAAGCACCAGCTTTACCCTGACTTTACTCCCCCACAAGCACCAGCTTTACCTTGACTTTACTGCCCCACAAGCACCAGCTTTACCCTGACTTTACTGCTCCACACGCACCAGCTTTACCCTGACTTTACTGCCCCACAAGCACCAGCTTTACCCTGACTTTACTGCCCCACAAGCATCAGCTTTACCCTGACTACTGCTCCACAAGCACCAGCTTTACCCTGACTTTACTGCCCCACAAGCACCAGCTTTACCTTGACTTTACTGCTCCACAAGCACCAGCTTTACCTTGACTTTACTGCCCCTCAAGCACCAGCTTTACCTTGACTTTACTGCCCCACAAGAACCAGCTTTACCTTGACTTTACTGCCCCACAAGCACCAGCTTTACCCTGACTTTACTGCTTCATAAGCACCAGCTTTACCTTAACTTTATTGCCCCACAAGCACCAGCTTTACCCTGACTTTACTGCTTCATAAGCACCAGCTTTACCTTAACTTTACTGCTCCACAAGCGCCAGCTTTACCCCTGACTTTACTGCCCCCACAAGCACCAGCTTTACCTTGACGTTACTGCCCCACAAGCACCAGCTTTACCCTGACTTTACTGCGCCACAAGCACCAGCTTTACCCTGACTTTACTGCGCCACAAGCACCAGCTTTACCCTGACTTTACTGCCCCACAAGCACCAGCTTTACCTTGACGTTACTGCCCCACAAGCACCAGCTTTACCCTGACTTTACTGCGCCACAAGCACCAGCTTTACCCTGACTTTACTGCGCCACAAGCACCAGCTTTACCCTGACTTTACTGCCCCACAAGCACCAGCTTTACTGCCCAACAAGCACCAGCTTTACCCTACTTTACTGCCCCACAAGCACCAGTTTGACCCTGACTTTACTGTCCCACAAGCACCAGCTTTACCTTGACTTTACTGCCCCACAAGCACCAGCTTTACCCAGACTTTACTGCCCCACAAGCACCAGCTTTACCCAGACTTTACTGCCCCACAAGCACCAGCTTTACCCAGACTTTACTGCCCCACAAGCACCAGCTTTACCCTGACTTTACTGCCCCACAAGGACCAGCTTTACCCTGACTTTGCTGTCCCACAAGCACCAGCTTTACCTTGACTTTACAGCCCCACAAGCACCAGCTTTACCCAGACTTTACTGCCCCACAAGCACCAGCTTTACCCAGACTTTACTGCCCCACAAGCACCAGCCTTACCCTGACTTTACTGCCCCACAAGCACCAGCTTTACCTTGACTTTACTGCCGCACAAGCACCAGCTTTACCCTGACTTTACTGCGCCACAAGCACCAGCTTTACTTTGACTTTACTGCGCCACAAGCACCTGCTTTACCTTAACTTTACTGCCCCACAAGCACCAGCTTTACCTTGACTTTACTGTGCCACAAGCACCAGCTTTACATTGACTTTACTGCGCCACAAGCACCAGCGTTACTGCGCCACAAGCACCAGCTTTACCTTAACTTTTCTGCCCCACAAGCACCAGCTTTACCTTAACTTTACTGCGCCACAAGCACCAGCTTTACCTTAACTTTACTGCGCCACAAGCACCAGCTTTACCTTGACTTTACTGCCCCACAAGCACCAGCTTTACCCTGACTTTACTGCCCCACAAGCGCCAGCTTTACCTCGACTTTACTGCGCCACAAGCACCAGCTTTACTTTGACTTTACTGCCCTACAAGCACCAGCTTTACCTTGACTTTACTGCCCCACAAGCACCAGCTTTACCCTGACTTTACTGCTCCACACGCACCAGCTTTACCCTGACTTTACTGCCCCACAAGCACCAGCTTTGCCCTGACTTTACTGCCCCACAAGCATCAGCTTTACCCTGACTACTGCTCCACAAGCACCAGCTTTACCCTGACTTTACTGCCCCACAAGCACCAGCTTTACCTTAACTTTACTGCCCCACAAGCACCAGCTTTACCTTAACTTTACTGCCCCACAAGCACCAGCTTTACCTTAACTTTACTGCCCCACAAGCACCAGCTTTACCCTGACTTTACTGCGCCACAAGCACCAGCTTTACCTTAACTTTACTGCCCCACAAGCACCAGCTTTACCTTAACTTTACTGCCCCACAAGCACCAGCTTTACCTTAACTTTACTGCGCCACAAGCACCAGCTTTACCCTGACTTTACTGCGCCACAAGCACCAGCTTTACCTTAACTTTACTGCCCCACAAGCACCAGCTTTACCTTAACTTTACTGCCCCACAAGCACCAGCTTTACCCTGACTTTACTGCGCCACAAGCACCAGCTTTACCCTGACTTTACTGCCCCACAAGCACCAGCTTTACCTTAACTTTACTGCCCCACAAGCACCAGCTTTACCGACTTTACTGCGCCACAAGCCCCAGCTTTACCTTGACTTTACTGCCCCACAAGCACCAGCTTTACCTTGACTTTACTGCTCCACAAGCACCAGCTTTACCCTGACTTTACTGCGCCACAAGCACCAGCTTTACCTTAACTTTACTGCCCCACAAGCACCAGCTTTACCTTAACTTTACTGCCCCACAAGCACCAGCTTTACCCTGACTTTACTGCCCCACAAGCACCAGCTTTACCCTGACTTTACTGCCCCACAAGCACCAGCTTTACCCTGACTTTACTTCCCCACAAGCACCAGCTTTACCCTGACTTTACTGCGCCACAAGCACCAGCTTTACCCTGACTTTACTGCCCCACAAGCACCAGCTTTACCTTGACTTTACTGCCCCACAAGCACCAGCTTTACCCTGACTTTACTGCCCCGCAAGCACCAACTTTACCCTGACTTTACTGTCCCACAAGCACCAGCTGTACCCTGACTTTACTGTCCCACAAGCACCAGCTTTACCTTCACTTTACTGCCCCACAAGCACCAGCTATACCTTGACTTTACTGCCCCACAAGCACCAGCTTTACCCTGACTTTACTGCCCCACAAGCACCAGCTTTACCCTGACTTTACTGCGCCACAAGCACCAGCTTTACCCTGACTTTACTGCGCCACAAGCACCAGCTTCACCCTGACTTTACTGCCCCACAAGCACCTCTTTACCCTGACTTTACTGCCCCACAAGCACCAGCTTTACCCTGACTTTACTGCCCCACAAGCACCAGCTTTACCCTAGACAATAAGACGTGTGGGAGAACATCTTCAATATTCTCAAGGACTCTTAATAATCTTAGTGAGGAGGGAGAAGATGGCGCTAATTACCTCATCCAAAACATTAGTGCGTAGCGACGAGGAAGAGCTGCCGGCGCCCATTGTGAGGTGTGAGGAGGGTGAGTAGGAGCAGCAGGTGAAGGAGGAGGAGCGGCGGCGTCCGTCCTCGTCCGTCGTCGTCCAGCAACTGACGCCGCCGCGCTCCGCCCACTCTTGCCACACGCGCCTCCACACAATTACCAACTTCACCTCTCAAACAATATGCAATACTCCTTCACAACTTATAAATAAACTTTACACCATCTTCCTACAACACCTACGAATATGTCTCATGAAAAACTGAACAGTTTTTGTGGCAATATTTCCGGACATGTCCAAGTTTGGGAGCAAATTAGGGCGCCAAAAGGCAGGACGCTGAGGTGGCAACACTGCTCCCAACCGTCCAGAAATATTGTTATATTCAAATTTTCTCAACTGTTTAACATCCAATAATTTCCAGAGATTTTTGGCTCTTTATCTCTCAAGTGTTTACAGTTTTAACACTTTATTATTCTCGTAGTTCTTGTTGGCCTCTACTGAAGAAATAGGAGTCATGAGGCTTCAGTATTTACACTTGAAGATGTGAGTCCCTCAGCGGCAGCCATTGTGGTCAGGCTCCACTGTGTAGAGTTACACTTGAAGATGTGAGGCCCTCAACGGCAGCCATTGTGGTCAGGCTCCACTGTGTAGAGTTACACTTGAAGATGTGAGGCCCTCAACGGCCGCCATTGTGGCCAGGCTCCACTGTGTAGAGTTACACTTGAAGATGTGAGGCCCTCAACGGCAGCCATTGTGTCAGGCTCCACTGTGTAGAGTTACACTTGAAGATGTGAGGCCCTCAACGGCAGCCATTGTGGCCAGGCTCCACTGTGTAGAGTTACACTTGAAGATGTGAGGCCCTCAACGGCAGCCATTGTGGCCAGGCTCCACTGTGTAGAGTTACACTTGAAGATGTGAGGCCCTCAACGGCAGCCATTGTGGTCAGGCTCCACTGTGTAGAGTTACACTTGAAGATGTGAGGCCCTCAACGGCAGCCATTGTGGTCAGGCTCCACTGTGTAGAGTTACACTTGAAGATGTGAGGCCCTCAACGGCAGCCATTGTGGTCAGGCTCCACTGTGTAGAGTTACACTTGAAGATGTGAGTCCCTCAACGGCAGTCATTGTGGTCAGGCTCCACTGTGTAGAGTTTTATAAACTCTACACTGTGTAAATTCTACTAACTGTAGCACTAATATAAATTAATATTTCCTATCTGCGCGACATTTACCAAATTCTCCCCCACATGGAGGGCTGTATTGCGTCTGATAATATGCAGCAAGACATAATTATTGTCAACATGCCAGAGAATTTAATAATATTCTCAACCTTTGTCAGTATTCTTTACAAGAATTAACACCTGATAATATAGCAACTAGTGATTCAATAACAACGAGTTATCAACTAAAATATCATGGCGTAGGGCGACGCCTGAGACAACATGGCGGCCACAAGTCCAGGGAGAGGCGAAACTTTCATCAACTACACGATCGGCCCTTGCTATTAATCGGCCCTGGAGTGTGCAATTACTCCACTAGCGATCCAAGGATTGCATCTGTGGACAGCCAGCAGGTTAAATGGTCTAGTTTTCTTATAGGAGCTCTTTATATGATAACTTTACCCTTAGTCCATCGTTACGTCGTGATCCCTCCCCAAACGACAAGTACATCCACACGGAATTTAATTTGTCGCTTCCATTGAATCGTAATGATATAATCTAACTTGTGAAGACAATTTTTACATCCCATTGGGTTTCCAGCGTGTGTTGGAGCAGCCGTGAGTGCCACAATTTCCCACGCTACGTGTTCTAGCAAGCTCCAGATGACGCCATCTTGACACCACGCTTCCGGTCACTGTCACGGCTAAGCAGCTGAGATTATTTCAATTTAGTTATCGCTTATTTAGCAACGGTTGAAACCTAATAATAATTTGAAATTATATTTCATTTACGCGAGCTAGGAAGTCAAGTATAATTCTGTAGCCTCATGTACTTTAGATAGGAACAATATCCTTATCTAACCATTATTCAATTTAATGATCCCCCATTGATCATTGTAGTATCTTGAGGCTCATTCGCCTCTAATTATTATTGCCCAATATTGCAGTTACTTATCTTTTTTACTTCAGTGAACGAACCACACTGAAATGATGTCAGGGATACAATAGTCTTTTGACATTTAACCCCCCATTTTGGGTGAGAAGCTACGATTCATATATTACAGTCAATATATATTCAAGATAATAATTATCAATAATATCCATAGGACACAAGTTCATGGCTTTAATATTAAACCACTTGCTCGACCAAGTTTACACTTTTCCTTTACAAAGTGATGGTCCTTCGCAGCTATCAAATTAGCATCAATTTAATTGAATTACATGAGTCAAGTTTTCCTACAGTCCTCGCCTCATACGAGCCATGAGGGGGACCAGGCTCCAGGGTGGTCCTCACCTCATACGAGCCATGAGGGGGACCAGGCTCCAGGGTGGTCCTCACCTCATACGAGCCATGAGGGGGACCAGGCTCCAGGGTGGTCCTCATCTCATACGAGCCATGAGGGGGACCAGGCTCCAGGGGGGTCCTCACCTCATACGAGCCATGAGGGGGACCAGGCTCCAGGGTGGTCCTCACCTCATACGAGCCATGAGGGGGACCAGGCTCCAGGGGGGTCCTCACCTCATACGAGCCATGAGGGGGACCAGGCTCCAGGGGGGTCCTCACCTCATACGAGCCATGAGGGGGACCAGGCTCCAGGGTGGTCCTCACCTCATACGAGCCATGAGGGGGACCAGGCTCCAGGGTGGTCCTCACCTCATACGAGCCATGAGGGGGACCAGGCTCCAGGGTGGTCCTCACTTCATACGAGCCATGAGGGGGACCAGGCTCCAGGGGGGGTCCTCACCTCATACGAGCCATGAGGGGGACCAGGCTCCAGGGTGGTCCTCACCTCATACGAGCCATGAGGGGGACCAGGCTCCAGGGTTGTCCTCACCTCATACGAGCCATGAGGGGGACCAGGCTCCAGGGTGGTCCTCACCTCATACGAGCCATGAGGGGGACCAGGCTCCAGGGTGGTCCTCACCTCATACGAGCCATGAGGGGGACCAGGCTCCAGGGGTGGTCCTCACCTCATACGCGCCATGAGGGGGACCAGGCTCCAGGGGGGTCCTCGCCTCATACGAGCCATGAGGGGGACCAGGCTCCAGGGTGGTCCTCACCTCATACGAGCCATGAGGGGGACCAGGCTCCAGGGTTGTCCTCACCTCATACGAGCCATGAGGGGGACCAGGCTCCAGGGTGGTCCTCACCTCATACGAGCCATGAGGGGGACCAGGCTCCAGGGTGGTCCTCACCTCATACGAGCCATGAGGGGGACCAGGCTCCAGGGGGGGTCCTCACCTCATACGGGCCATGAGGGGGACCAGGCTCCAGGGTGGTCCTCGCCTCATACGGGCCATGAGGGGGACCAGGCTCCAGGGTGGTCCTCACCTCATACGAGCCATGAGGGGGACCAGGCTCCAGGGGGGTCCTCACCTCATACGAGCCATGAGGGGGACCAGGCTCCAGGGTGGTCCTCACCTCATACGAGCCATGAGGGGGGACCAGGCTCCAGGGTTGTCCTCACCTCATACGAGCCATCATACGAGGGGGACCAGGCTCCAGGGTGGTCCTCACCTCATGAAGATCTCATGAGGACGCACACTGTAGTAAGCTCGGGTGTATATTAACACTATACATCTATATACATAATGTATCATAATCTTATACATCAACTTTGGAGGGCGGAGTGAGCACGTGGAAGGTTCTGGAGGGCTGAGTGAGCACATGGAAGGTTCTGGAGGGTGGAGTGAGCACATGGAAGGTTCTGGAGGGTGGAGTGAACACATGGAAGGTTCTGGAGGGCGGAGTGAGCACGTGGAAGGTTCTGGAGGGCGGAGTGAGCACATGGAAGGTTTTGGAGGGCGGCGTGAGCACATGGAAGGTTCTGGAGGGCGGAGTGAACACATGGAAGGTTCTGGAGGGCGTAGTGAACACATGGAAGGTTCTGGAGGGCAGAGTGAACACATGGAAGGTTCTGGAGGGCGGAGTGAACACATGGAAGGTTCTGGAGGGCGGAGTGAACACATGGAAGGTTCTGGAGGGCGGAGTGAACACATGGAAGGTTCTGGAGGGCGGAGTGAACACATGGAAGGTTCTGGAGGGCGGAGTGAACACATGGAAGGTTCTGGAGGGCGGTGTGAAGACATGGAAGGTTCTGGAGGGCGGAGTGAGCACATGGAAGGTTCTGGAGGGCGGAGTGAGCACATGGAAGGTTCTGGAGGGCGGAGTGAACACATGGAAGGTTCTGGAGGGCGGAGTGAGCACATGGAAGGTTCTGGAGGGCGGAGTGAGCACATGGAAGGTTCTGGAGGGCGGAGTGAGCACATGGAAGGTCCTCAAGGGCGGAGTGAGCACATGGAAGGTTCTGGAGGGCGGAGTGAACACATGGAAGGCGGAGTGAGCACATGGAAGGTTCTGGAGGGCGGAGTGAGCACACGGAAGGCGGAGTGAGCACATGGAAGGTTCTGGAGGGCGGAGTGAGCACATGGAAGGTTCTGGAGGGCGGAGTGAGCACATGGAAGGTTCTGGAGGGCGGAGTGAACACATGGAAGGTTCTGGAGGGCGGAGTGAGCACATGGAAGGTTCTGGAGGGCGGAGTGAACACATGGAAGGTTCTGGAGGGCGGAGTGAGCACATGGAAGGTTCTGCAGGGCGGAGTGAACACATGGAAGGTTCTGGAGGGCGGAGTGAGCACATGGAAGGTTCTGGAGGGCGGAGTGAACACATGGAAGGTTCTGGAGGGCGGAGTGAACACATGGAAGGTTCTGGAGGGCGGAGTGAAAACATGGAAGGTTCTGGAGGGCGGAGTGAACACATGGAAGGTTCTGGAGGGCGGAGTGAACACATGGAAGGTTCTGGAGGGCGGAGTGAACACATGGAAGGATCTGGAGGGCGGAGTGAACACATGGAAGGTTCTGGAGGGCGGAGTGAGCACATGGAAGGTTCTGGAGGGCGGAGTGAGCACATGGAAGGTTCTGGAGGGCGGAGTGAACACATGGAAGGTTCTGGAGGGCGGAGTGAACACATGG